AGCATCGCGAAAAGTAGCGGAGGAGGAAAAATGCCTTCTTTAAACAACAATCTCTCGGAATTAGACACGTTGCTTCAAGATTTAAGCAACGCCCATTACAATGCTCATTATCAGGAAAGAGGTTAGGATTTTACTTTCGTATATTTTTATTTAAACTTTTGTTTAAAGATATTACGATTAAAATATCGATCACCGTAGAAAATCGTATTTCCTCGAGTGGAATGAATGGAGATTCTAGTCCAATGCTTCGTTCTCCAAGTAGCATGTCAGCCTCGAGACCAACCGTCGATTCATTGCTCGAGGAGTTGAGTACCGCGGTACCAAACGGGTAAACTTTCTTATTTTTGAAAAAAAAAAAATTAAAAAATTTGATGCTCGATATCGAATACTCGAATCTAATGCGATTTCTTTCATCAGAGATTATCCTTCCGATGGAAGAGTGAAAGTTACCATACAGGAAACGTCGACGGAGATTCAACCCGTCTATGACGGTTATCCTTCTAGACAACACGGATCGTTAAATCGTAGCGAAGTCCAGAGAAGTTATAGTAATGGTCATACTGCCAGTAACGCTACCAAGGAACTCGATGATTTAATGGCTTCTCTATCCGAATTTAAGGTATGTGTCAATCATGAAATTTGTCACTTTATGTATTCTCTTTATCGTTTTCATTTTCGATCATTTATCAGTTGAAAACATAGTTATAATGAAATTGCATAATTATTGGATTTCTCAATAACGGTTGCAATAATTGTTTTTATAATATTTATTTATTATTAAAATCATTATAGAATGAGAAAACAGTGCCGTTAAAACTATCTCTGCCCATTCTTGGCTCCCTAGGTTACCAAAATAACTTCCATTCCACCATCTACCACTAGTAAACCATCTACTCCTCATCTCTCTTTCTCTCTCTCCTTCATCCGTTTCCTTTTCTTCGTCTTCACTGATTTTCTGTAGTAGGGGAGTGAAAATATAGAAGGTGGGGATTATAGTGATCCACGAAATCTCTCAAAGCTTTCAGCCAGTCTGCAAGCTCATCTCTGCCAATCGACATCTCTCGCGGGTCCTTAAAATTTTTCAATCTTATCTTGAAATATCTTGACATTCCAATTTTAGTAGCTAATTTTTCGTAACCCTAACTTTGTCGTCGATTTTTCTTTTAACTTTCAAGCAACTTATTCGCTTTCCATATTTGCTTTTCATCTTTGCTTGATTCTAAAGCATTCTATTTCTCTATCTATATACGCAATTGATTATTCTTACCATACATTGTACATTTACAGATCAATAGTAGTTCCCATCAACATCAAACAGTGACTGATTCTCCATACGCTAAACCGAACAAAGCGACCAAAAGTTCACAAAGCCCGTTGCCATCCGAGGGCACGCAAACTAGAATTCATATCACCGAAACTCACACCACTCATCACTACCAACAGCAACACGGAGAACCTTATCCACCACAGCCAGCGACTCAGACCAAACAGAATCAATTGGATTCTATGCTAGGAAATCTTCAAGCCGATATGAGTCGTCAAGGAGTGAATACCACACAAAAAGGATGCTGCAGCGCTTGCGAAAAACCTATCGTGGGACAAGTAAATGAAACTAAATCATCTTGGATTTCCCTCGATATATATATATATATATATTGACTTCTCTAAAACGATAAAGTTAAACGTATTTTTAATTACAGGTGATCACTGCTCTAGGAAAAACTTGGCATCCAGAACATTTCACATGCACGCATTGCAATCAGGAACTGGGCACGCGAAATTTCTTCGAAAGAGAGGGGCATCCGTATTGCGAACCTGATTATCACAATCTTTTTTCTCCACGTTGCGCCTACTGTAATGGCCCCATTCTAGACGTAAGACGTCTAACAAAAGTCATGCGCGATGTTTCGATCGTTATTTAGAGTTACATCATGTTTTCGATTCTCGTTATTTTCAGAAATGTGTGACCGCTTTGGAAAAAACTTGGCATACGGAACACTTCTTTTGCGCCCAGTGTGGCAAACAATTTGGAGAAGAGGGATTTCACGAGCGGGACGGAAAGCCCTACTGCCGAGAGGATTACTTCGATATGTTCGCTCCAAAATGCGGTGGATGTAATCGTGCTATTATGGAGAATTATATATCGGCCTTGAACAGTCAATGGCATCCAGACTGTTTCGTTTGCAGGGTAGGTCGTGCATTCGTCAATGTTCACACGTAACAAATATTTTCGATTTCCAGCGATGTTTCAGGATTAATGCAAACTATCGATGCAATTGTTTAGCAGTTCGGTAGCTTTAAAATATACAACTTGTAGGATTGCAAGAAGCCAGTTTCTGGAAAGTCGTTTTATGCGATGGAGGGCAAACCTGTTTGCCCTAAATGCGTTGGTGTCGATGATGATGAAGAGGAAGAAGAAGAAGAAGCATAAGCAATGCTTCGATTTTTTATGTAAAAAATCCTATTGTTCCTTCTTTATGCTGTCAGGCTGTATAAAAATGTATAAACCTGACTTTCCCCATATTTTTTCAACAGGTGATTTAGGTAATCCACGAAGGAAGAATGTGCTGATTTGATTTCATCGCCGTCGTATCTATCTTTCTCGAAATTACTCATTTACATGAACACATATAAATACACACAGATACACATATACATACATACATACATACATACATACATATGGATAAATGTATAATATACACTACAAACAATTAGGATATTGTTAAGGAATATAATATTATTCTATGGAAAATTATTCAGTGCAGTCGGAATTGATTTTTGTTGTCGAACTACGTTTTTTTAGATAGATGAACATTATTAACAATCAATCGTTATACTAATATCAATTGCTAGTATTGTATGCAAAATAAAAATAAATTAGGAAAAAAAACGAAAAAACATACACAACACAAGAGTTAGCTCGAAACTCTGACTCTGACGCTGCCGCTTTCCACGTGTCTTCATCGAAGACAAGTGTGATCGAATGCCGGCGAATCCTATATTATTTAATCGTAATGTTGTTACGAATTACGATCTGTATTCTGTATTATATGTTCGTATATTTAACTCTTCCATGTTTATATATACGCAGCATACAAACAGATGTGTATGAAACTTATTTTTATCTGGTTGAAACGCCCCTTTGTGTTATGGTGAAATCGTTCTAGATTCATTCATAAATGAATGAATAGAACTAAAGATGCAGCATTAGTGCATTAATGTCTACTATTGCATTCTATATATTAATTTTTTTCTATAATCATGTTTAATAATTTTTTTTTTTCATAAATATTTTTAATTGACATAGAAATTTTTTTTATATCCGTAGGATTGTAGACAAAAATTCCAAGGTGGCTCATTTTTTGATCACGAAGGTTTACCTTATTGCGAAACTCATTATCATGCTAAGAGAGGATCCCTTTGTGCAGGATGTCATAAACCAATTACAGGTCTCTGAATTTTCATTTTTCTAAACCTCAAACTTTTATATTGCTAATTGTTAATAGAATTAACTTATTAAATAAACGTTTTTCTTTCAGGTCGTTGTATAACTGCTATGTTTCGAAAATTTCATCCCGAACATTTCGTATGCGCGTTTTGTTTAAAACAATTGAATAAAGGTACTTTTAAAGAACAAAATGATAAACCATACTGTCATGGATGTTTCGATAAGTTATTCGGTTAAAATTTATTATAAAGTATTCATATTTGTAATAAAAACGAACAAGCTATTCTGCTTGGCATTACATATTTATAGACTCATGTATGGTCTATACCGCATAGAATATGTAATCGCTTTAATCGTTATGCAGAAATACGTATTAGGATTTAAAGTTCTCGTTGTAACCCAAGGCAGTCTTTGAAAATTTTTATAAATCTCAATATGCAAATGGTGCAACAATTTAATTATATGTATTGTTATATATTCTTATATATCATAAGAATAAGATAATAGAATAACTGTAGTCCTTTGTATCTTCCATCGTCCGAAGTATGAAGCATGTTGCTAATATTTTTATGTATATTTTATATTACGTATTTCGAATTAACTGTACAATCAAAGGATTATTAAAGGGTGCTAATTATTAGCTTATTTTTACTAATAACATATTCGTTGATATATTCAAAAAAAAAAAATTATTCGAAAGAAAAATATTTATGTGAAATTGGAACGTTACTAAACATTCGCTGTGTTTTTGGTAGATTTGATATACAAGGTAGATTTGAAAAATATTTATATTTACAACTGAAATACATAGTTAAGATCATTAATATTTGTCGAATTTCTATTGAATATTCGCAAGAAATATATAATTAATTATAAATCTAATAAAATGAATTAATCAAAAACAAAATACATAAATACATAATGTAAAACAGTAAAAATATGAGTTAAAAAATTAATAATGCACTTTGTTTTTTAATCATTTACTATTTCCTATTATTTATATTTATAAATATTAAAAAATAATGATTGATAGTGATAAAATATAAAAATAAACTAAAAGTTTTTTAAATTCATTTATTGTTTATTTGGCATACTGTTGCACAGCATCTATTATTTTTACAATAAACATTTACGAGGTATTATATACATTAATTACTATTTTGTTTAAAAAATTTTTACAACGATATAAATAGTGAGTGTTAAATCAAATTTAATATTATAAATACATGTACAAAATAAAAACATGTATAAAAATTATACTTTATATCTGTGTTTTTCAGTTTATAAAGTGATTGTGTCACAATTTCTGTGCTACTTATAGTACACTAGTATAAAAAGAACAAATAATTTTTTAGGGACAATGATTTCTTCGCAAGTAAAAGTAACGAATATCACAGACATTATATTTTAAATTTTCTTCTTTTGAGAAAACTGTCATGCTAGTGTTGGAAATAATTCAGAAAAACTTTCGTGCCAAAGATCCGTCAAAGTAACGTTATTTTTTTCGTGTCGTATATCAGAATTCGGAGAACCGTGCGATTCGTATCCACAATCAGATGCATTAGAATCCAATTTGGAATGTGTATAATTAGTTTCCATTTCTTCGGAATATATACTTGAAGGTGACATAGAATCCGTGTTCGTGTAACATGGAGATAAGTGATCGATATAATAATTCGGTGTTAAATATGTTGAATCTTCATTTGTGCAAGTACTGTCTGTAACTACTTCTTGAACGCATTCTTGAACGCTTACATTAGTTTCATCTCCAGGATAAATGATCATTACAGAATTGGTTGCTTCGTCGTAAGTACCATAAATAGTATCTAAATCATGTGTATCGACTTCTTGTTTTATTTCAATCTCTGATTTTATTGACATGGGTACGCTCGTACTTGTGGTATAAGGTGTACTAGCTGTGCTAGAAACAGGATGCCATGATTGATGTATATTCATGCTTCTACAGGTTCCATTGGTTTCCACATCTTTTGATGTCTGCCCCACCACTCTTTCTGAATAGTGACATTCCTCAGTGGTATTTTCCTTGGTTGTTGCCTACACAAGACACAATCATTATATTATTAACAAAAGGAAGACTGAGTTGTACATCAAAAATATGAATTTAGAAACAAATGAAATATTTAATAATATTCAAATGTTGTATTCTAAATTAAAAATCAGTAATTTTAAGTATATTATAGCATAACAATATTGAAGTTTTTTTTGTTTTTTTAAATAATTCATTCATTTCTATAGTATAAAGTAATAAAATATTAGATAAAATGTACAACATAATATAATATAGTTATCTAGTCAATATGACTGATTATTATCAAAACACTCACTTGTTCATTTGTTCTATGAGGATTTGCTTCCACTTCTGCTGTAACTTCTCGCAGAAGACTTTCTGCAAGTTTTTCAAGTCGTTCGATATAATCATCTCCTTGGAGTTCACTAAACAATTCTTCAAGAGGAAGTAGATGGTCAGAATCTTCAGAAGAATTGTTGCTCCTGGAGTTTGTGTCAGAGTTGATGCCAGCTGTGTTGTTCCACCCTGCTGCAGAGGGTGAGTGGAGGATACTGTAGATCCCAGTGAGGACACAGCACAGCTGACACGACTCTGACACATGGAACAAACAAAGTCTTCTGTGTTCTTGATTTCTCTTTCTTTCCTCAATCTTTTTGTTTCTGTAATCAGCACTTCATTCTGCGATCTTAACATCGAACATTCCTGTGTCAATAATTCATTTTGTTCTCTTAACCTTCGAACAGTTTCTTCTAATTCATCAAGTTTAGCCTTTTTACGATCCCGAGATGTTTGAGCTGCTACTCTATTTTTTAATTTCCTATGAAATATTTTAATATTTAATTAATATAATGTATTCTAATATCTAACATCTAATTTAATATTCATAATTAATTAATATTTGCATCATTCCTTTTAAACATACTTTCTCTGAAGTTTTTCTTCCCATGTCAAATGATCCAGTCGTCGTTTTTTTCCACGAACGCAAACATCTGTTTTGAATGATAAACTTTCATCCTGAATTTCTTCGTGTTTAGTGATTTTCTTCGTATCCATATTCGGTTTATTAGTTAACACAGAAGTAGTAAAATTTAATTTCGGCACAGACTTTGGTAATTCGCTTGTTGAAATAATGCCAGGCGCCTTTGATGACAGGCCCTTAGGCAATGTGATTATAACACTTTTCAATACGTTCATAATCAGCCATAAAATATAAATTAATTTACTATTGTCACTTATTTTAAAATTTCACCACTTTATCTTCCCAAACTTCTTAAGCCACCGACTATCGGAAAGCGACTGATGTGAAGCATAACACTGCCTATCAAGAGAAAATTCCATATGCGTTTCTAGCTGATGTAACTGTACTGACGAACTGCAGCATTTGACTAGCCGAAGAATATCCTAGAACAACAGTTGCATCAGTCTTTGATATGACTGGCTGAAACTAGGAATGTTACATGTGGTGAACCGTTATTGGTTGCCACATCGTATTTCTTCGCGCACTTTTTTACTACTACATAGTCAAATAATTACACTTTATTGACGTCATATAGTACACATGTTACTTTTTTATATTGCTTTTATCCACTAAGATTATACTTTACTATTTTTCAAACTTTTTAAAATCATCTAATTAATGATGACTCATTCGATAAGTTTTAACACTAATTTCAAAGTTGTTATATCATTTGAATTTATTATTTTTAATTGATCAAATTAAAAAAAATCAAATTAAAAAAAATTGTCGTATTAAAATTTATTGTTACTTATAAAATATTTATTGAAAAATATTTGATAAATATCATTTAAGTTTATCATTTAAAATTATATTATATTATATAATATTATATAAAATGTAAAAAATATAAATGAAATTTTAATCATGCATTATATGTAATATATTGCATATATTATGTAATATATGTAATTCAAAAAAGAAAAAAAATTATAATTTATCAAAATATATGAAATTTTTGTAATTAAATAATTAATATAAAAAGAAATGTAAATTAGGGAAATCGAAATTTTAATTTTCAATTCAATTATAATATTTATGAATCATTTTACACGTATGTATTATAAATTATTTATTATATTGATAGATGAAATCACAGACGAAATGAAGGATAGAGAAGGAGAAGAAATAATTGGAGAAGAACAGAGATTCAAAAAAAATAGGAACCAGTGCCATCTTCAGAGTGTCGTAAATAAAATTCATATAGGTAAAGATAAATAAATAAGAAAAGATAGAGATAGAGAATTGATTATTAGTACCATCTCTTGGATACCAAAGACATCTATTTAAATGCAGGATAAAGTAGAACAGGAATTGAGAATTAACGTCATCTCTTAAATATTTTTAGAAGCACAATTCTTTGAAGAAATGTCTTACTCCAAAGATGGTATTGATGGTTAATTCTTATTATATCTTTATCCTTTTTCTACTATTTGTTCTTACCTACATGAGTTTCATTTGCGGCACTCTGGAGATGGCGCTGATTTCCATATTTTTATCTTATCTCTATCCTTTTCCCACTATTTGTTCTTTTCGTCTTATATTTTACAAAATAATGTATTCAAAAAATGGTACCGATATTCGTTTAACTTCGTTGTTTTTTTTTGTCTAACCTATTAATTAAAAATCTTAACAAAATCTATTTAATTTAATTTTGAGACAAAAAAAAGAATAAATGTTAGAATTATTGTGTACCTGATTTGAATATTATTAATAATCGATATGTTCACTGTTGAATATAGAATACTATAAAATTTAAAATTTCGTACGTATATGTTTAAATTATTTAATAGAATTTGTACAACTTTTTTTTATTTAATAGAACGTTTATTTAATAGAACGAGAAAGTTTATCTAATATGTAAAAGTATAAAATATATTTTCAGATGCACAAACCAATCAAAAATTTTCACACGAGAAGAAACTAAACAATTATATCAAGTTGGCTAGCCCGATGGTGCATCGCGCATCGCATTTCATAGATACTAGCCATTAATCTACGGAATCGACCACACTGTAGACAAAGAAGCTACAAAGAGACAAAGAAGGAAAATATTGAGAGGAAGAGGGCGTTGCAGAATGTCACGAGTAGACACGAGGATTCGACAGGACTTGGCTTTCAGTCGCAGCTCGGCAGTCTGTACGAGACGAGCGAAATACGTGTAGTAAGGTGTGTAGTTTGTATACATATACATGCACGGTGCATGTATATTACTACTCATAGACATACTCTCGCGTGTGTAAGGGTAACCGATACGTCGGACGAGTTGACACACGCGCAGCAATGGCGTACCCCTTTGAAGAAGCCTGAACGTGTTCTGTCGTTTAATTTTTCTTTGTGCAGCTGTGTTTAAAGTGAGTGAAAAAGACAAATAATTTGAGTAAAATTTCTTATATACAAAGCAACGATAGAATTGCAAAACAACGTCGGCATATTAAAGTGTTTCAATCTTGTTGAAACGAAGAAACGAGACGTTACGCCCAGCCTGTTCAGATCCAAGCCCCCATTGCTTGCTCTGATATATAAATCTACTCTTCGTTTTCATGAATGTCTCTGAATTTTGTAAATAAAAAATCTGATTAAAAGTGGAAGTGTGGCATTTTAACGTTTAATTGCAAATATAATACATACATGTAGCAATCGAAATATTACGTGCGAAGGATTTGTGAAAGAGTGAAGTGGATTACTATATGTATCGAGAATTCGAAAGGGAAAAGACGAAAAAAATACGTTTATATAGAGAAGAAAAAGGATTTTGAAATAGAAACGAGAGATTAGAGAGAAACAAATAGAAAGGGAAAAGCATAGAAGGCAAAGATCGATGTTGCAAGGAAGCCGGTGTCCAACAAATCAGGGCCGGTGGTGTTCGAATTCATAGTCAGTTGTAAGCTCTTTACGACTTTTTTTCCTTCTCTCTCTCGAAATATGCGATAACGCTCTTTTGCTCATGTACATTGGGGGCTTCTGCCTCGAGGGCTTTCCTTGGTGTTGGATATAATAGCTGATTGGTCCAACCCTTGGATAAGGCAACCCTCTCTCTCGCAGCGATGAATCGGACCATTTTTTTTCGTCTCATTTCAAGATTTGCCCATAAAAATTGCGAAAAATACCACAATTATTAAGAGGATCGTATTGTCAATACGATTGGAGGAGAGATATTAAGAAACCTATTAAGAAAAGAAGGATAAAAACAAGGAAAGAAAAACAAGAAAAAACAGAAGTAAAAGAAAGGGGTTAGTGAAGAAAAGTAAAGAAAAAAGTGCTGGAGAATCGCGAATTCGCGTCTCCGGCTGTGTGGTGAAAGATCGGGTAATCTCAACGCTGGGCGAGACGGAGAGCAGTGGATCGTGGTCGTCATCGGGGAGAATAATCACGAGGATCCCACGAAATGAGAGGCTAGCGTTCGAGGTGGGTCGTTGGTCAGCGGGCGTGCAAGAAGGGACGGTTCGGCGGCGGAAGCCTGGATAGTAGGAGGTTTCCAACATGGCCGCTGCCTGCTACGAGAAGGAAGTGGTGGTAGGTGCCGCTATGCATGGACACGGTCATCACCATCACCACCACCATCATCATCACCATCACCATCACCATCATGGAATCGGCGGCGGATCTGCCGGCGGTGGCGGCGGCCCGGCGGCCACGGGTGCCGCGACGGGCCCGAGCGGACAGCAACCCGTCCTCCCGGCCGCATCGGCCGGCATCCTCGACCCCCCCGTCGCTGCGGCTGCTGCCGTCGGCTCCGGTACGGCCGCAAACACAAATACGACGACCCCCCCCGCGCCCGCAGCGGCTGTCGCGGCCGCGGCGGCAGCCGCTGCGGTGGCAGTCACCACCTACAAGGACTCCAAGGATTACTCGCAAACTCTCCACGTTGGCTGCAGTGTCGAGTTCGAGCTGCCGAGCCAAGCAAAACCACCACCCGGTGGCGGTGAACCTCTTCTCATGATACACCCATGCTATTATCGACGAGCTGAACGCGAAAGGAGAAGTCCTTTCGTCAACAATCTACCACCACCAGCGAACGCG